GTAGAAGCTATCTTTTCGCATTACCAAAACACCTGAATCGCAAATGAACAAGTGCCCTAGGACAAATGTTGACATTCTCCTAATAGCAGTCTTCTTGCTACAGATAGGAAGGCCTGTAGTATATGGGTTGGCGGCAAAAGGGGAAAGTGGAGTTAGAAGGGTCACTGAGATGCTGAAGGATGAGCTCGAGCTTACGATGGCACTATCTGGATGTCCCACCATAAAGGATATCACCAGGGGCCATGTGATAACAGATCGCGAGAGACTTCATTCCTCTCTCTAAATTCGCGCTGCAGCATCCATGAAGATAAGATTCACGTAGGTAAATAATCGATGCCCTTGTTGTATTATCGCTTGTAGTTTGCGATGTTATGTGAATAGTTGTCATGTTTCATGATCAAAAATAAAATTGGAGTCAGAGTCAGAGCATCAGTATAGATTTGGGATAGTCAAAGCTGGTTTTTTCTTGGTCCATCAGTAGATGTTAATGTCAAATAGTACTTTTGAGCATCAAATTTGAAGCATAAAATCCTTGTAAGACATGTAATTGATCTGCCTCTTTTGACTCTGCTACCTTCCAGTCAACTTTGTCAAGTCAGTATCATCACGACTGCCCCTCTAAATGATGCGAAAGAACAGTGCTTCCCACCAGCAGAAGGCTGGGTAAAATTAATTACAGACATGAGTGCTTTTCGGTAGTGATTAATGGATTGGATGCTCCTGTGTTTGTGCAAGTCCTGAGAGCAGATTTTTGCCCCTAGTCATCCTCTACTATCCTCCTGCAGCCTTGGGGGCTCTCTGTTTATTAGCTGCTACTTCTACCCTCGTAGCCCAAGCCAGCAGGTAATAGCGATTATTCCTGCATGTACTCCAATGAAATTTAATTTTAGCCTTTTATTCCGACACAAGGTTCAAGAACATTGACAAACCAGATTAAACATTGTCCCGCAGAATCTGGTAAGATGTTCCAAGTCATATACATTTCCCCAGAGCCAAAATTGGAACCCAGATAAAGAAAATGAAATGAGTGAAGTTCATCTCCCTCTAATCACTTGGCCAATGGTTGTGCATGAGTCTACTTCTGCTCTTGTTTGCGGAATGGATCCTACAGATGCAGAAAGATACAATATAGCTCAGACCGTAAAGAATCCACACGGACGTGGCGATGTTACGTTACTGCATGTCAAGTAAAGAAAGAAATTTTTATCAAAGACAACATCTTCAAGTGGAGACAAAATGCAAAGCGTGCGATATCATTTCACAGGCTCAGGCTAGTCTAGCTTTAAACAAACAGGATAGCACACGTATGGTTTCACTTTTCACGATTAAATAGACTTACTACCTCTGGGCAGTTAGATGAACCTTAATCAGATATGTGGCTTAGGCATTACCGATTTACAACATGTCAACTTTTCATTGTCCAGTTTCTGTATGTTGTACAATAGATGCTGTGGTTAGAAAGTTTCGTTAGAACATCCCTCTTGACTCAGGAGAAAACCCTGTTCCTAGCTCTAAAACCATGGCCGTGTTTGCTACGTAAACTCAGTTGGAGGATGATGGTTGATGCAAACAAAGTCCGGGGTTAAGTTGTAAACATCCCAGGCCATTGGCCACAGAGATCTATTTTGTACAGCCCAGAATCTTTCACAAACAGACGGTCCCACCAACAGATACTTGCTCGGAGAAAGATTCTTGATGATAGAAGCATTTGGGTTCCGGATGTTCTAGTGGATTCATCTTATGCAAGGATAAAGATTCGAAAAGTTGGTTATCTGACTCAACCTCATATTTATTATACCATTGGTGATGGAAAATATACTTGATTATGGCATAATGAGCAGGATCATTTCAGTGCTCTAGCTTGTACAAGGTAGCGCGACATCTTATTCAGGGTTTGCAGTGGCGAGCCAATTAGCTGATCCAACAAGAGGGATACATTGTTGTTGCCTGCAGCTATAAGTGAGGAAATCGGCGAAGATTCAGACCAAACAACGGCTGGTGACGGACCAGTTGCAGCATTGATGCTCCTAAATGGACCGCAGCTAAACCAATCCCTAATGCAATCGAGCTCCATGTCACTGTCCACGAATTACTACATTCAACACATTAAACCCCGAGTAACACCGGACGGCCCTCTCGAGGAAAAGAGGGCATTGGCTGGAGTGTTAACCACTCCTGTAAGTGTTTCCATTATTGATGATAAATTGAAAAGTCAACACACCAAAATGAAAAGGCTTTGAGAATAACTGCCAAGACTAGACGGACCAAAAACACCTTTTGGACTTCTTGATAATTGTCACACCGCGATTACCTCACATAAAGCCAATGACTTATCAAATGAACGGGTGGGGCAGATTGAAAATAGTCCAACTTAATTAGATCCATTTAATCCATTCTGACCTATTCAAATCTAATGACCTATATTCGACTCAACTTATATTACTAAAATATTTTCATATTTAATTCAATCTAGGAAGATTCACACCAAATTGAGATGAGAGTGCGGAGTGAAGGAACACGAGATTAAGCGAGGGCAAGAGAGATGAGTTGATTTTTAAATAAGTTGTAAATCCATTTACGATCTATTTAACACCCATATTATATTTACACCTATTTACGACTCATTGATTGTTATATGGTTTAAAAAATGAGTTTATGATCCATTTTGATAGTTTTACGCCACACCAACCACAAATGGTCATGGACTTATGATGCGGGTTCATATTCTTACAATGTCGTGACTCCTGAGTTTGAACTTGTTCGTGATGGTGGTCCAAGTACTTTTCACTTTGATGGGTGAGATTTTAGATCTCCAGTACCTTGGGTGGGATTATCGTGATGGAGCTTCTCCACGATGGAGCTAGTACGCAATCTTTGACGGCTCTAGCTATGTAAACAGATCATATTTGGTGTAGAGTTAAAGACCTCTCTGCAATCTTAAATTCGCAAAATTCCATAACAACAGATGGGTAGGAATCACGTTGGCCAAAAAACTGAATGTCATGGAACGATACGTCAAGTTGGCGAAGAGATTTTTGAACAGCGCGAATAATGCATTATTTCACTTTCTTTTACTTCAAGTTCGAATACTCAATTCACAGTAAATAGTATCGTACAAATTCGATTATGGAAGATCTACATGAGACCTACTATCAATAATATCGTGTAAGATTGCGATCGATGCACTCCATGATGAATCGCGTCTATAATAGATTGAGTCATAAATTTGATAGAGAAATATAGTTTAACTTGTTTAACTGATTCACAACATATTGTATATCCATAATTGTATATTGATACGAATTAATATAGGTTTTCCTTATGACTATTTGCACCCCTTATCAGCTTCTAACATCCACTTTTACATTAATTTGACTACATTATCTCTCACGGGTCTCACTCTTGATTAAAAATTATTTCTTACTTTTTTTTTCTTCGTTTTCTTCTATTTCAATTTTACTAAAACGAAAATATTCGTACTCCTCTTAGACAACATTTATTAAATTAAATAAGGGGCCCATTTTTTTTTTTATTTAAGATTATTGCTTACCTTCTTTTATTTTTTTTTAATTTTTGGTTTTTTCCTTTTCTTTCTCCATTTATAACAAAATTGGTGTACCTCTTTTCCCAAAAATACTTTATTTGGTAGATAGCTAACTAATTATTGTGTTTCCAACAAAAAAAAAACTAAGTTAATGAGTTGTCTATTTCTTTTTTTTTTTGTACTGAGAAACTATTACTCAAAAAACAACTTAAGCATAAGTAAGAGTGAAAAAAATCATTTACAATTATAATTTTAATATGCTTCATTACGTTGTAGTTCATTTATTTTAACCGCTCAACTTTCATTTTATTCGGTGAATGTAATAATCTAATTTTTAATTATTTATCGTGTGATGCATTCAATATTTTGAGTGATCATGATCCGTTCTTCTTTTTATAAGAAAACACTCTAAAAGGCCAATCAATCAAAGGAGGCCAGATCTTTCTTTTGACTTGCAATAGGAATATTATGTCGATTACGATAATTGCCTTTCATATCACAGCTAAGAAGAACATATTTGTCTCTCTTTGACCTTTTTATAGAAACAAAATAACCTTAAGCAAGAAGATACGTCCGCACACTTCTCAAAAGATCCTCTCGTGTTAGAAAATTACCCAGTAAAGTTTCAAATGAACTTGTTGAGATGATCGATTGCTATTTTCACCATTCGTACTTTGATCATCAATAGATACATTTAAGCATAAAACAATATTGTCTTTCCATAGTGACTGTACAACAAAAAACAATACAATCAAAGATGAATAAATCGTGGATAATGCAAACATCAACCAACATATTCAGTCTTTGAGTAAATTCTCGTAAATTTGTACAAAGAATGGAAGTCGAAAAATTCACAGCCATGAAAATAATCTAGGGAAGTAAAGTATACAATTTGCAGATAAAACTAATATTTCTTTATTCTAATACATGATTAGTGCTTGCTCAGATTGTAATGTTGGAAATAAGTTCAGAAGAGGATAAATTACCAAGGAAATGTAACGGGTGCGGAAGAAGTGGCTTCCATGAAAAAACATGTTATTTGGAAGGGACGTTTTCGTCTTTTAATAAAATTGAAAAAGAAGAAGGAAGAATAAACATAAGAAATGATTTTAAATATAGAATGGGACGTGCATGAATTATTCTCATCCATAGCTTCATTACAATATATATTGAAGAGAGTCAACGTCCTCGTGTCGCTCAACTCATCACTGTCCTCAATCGAGTTTCGTCCTTCAACCGGAGATTTTGCTCCGATCGTGTGAAAAAACCCAAGGTTCGATCTTGCTTATCCTGCGAAACATCGCGCCACTTTCGATCGTCTCTCTTCTTTGATTCGAGTGCGCAGAGTGACTCGTCTGCTCTGCACTTTCTTGAGCATCCGTAGCGTTTGCGATGCGGAAAGATCGCATTTTTTTTTGGTGCGCATGCAGTCATGACTGGCGAAAAATTCATTGACCCGTCGTCATGTGGGAGTTTGTGATCAAGGTTCATGTGGGTGGTTGGGCTAGCGCAAGATCCGGAAATGGTTGCGCTGACTCGTTCTCGAGATCGTCGTAGCGTGCTGATAGGTTCAAGGTTCGGCTATGTGTGACTTCATGAGTCACCCGAGCTTTAGAGGAACGGCGAGCGTGTTGATGAAGTATGGTGCCGTGTGCGAAATGACTTTGGGTTGATTACTGGCAGAATATGACAAGGACTTGATTCTGTTCTAAATTTATGAGCCGCGTGTGGCTTTGATGTTGATTGCGTTTTGAGATGTTTGCGTGCTGTACTTTTGGCTGTAGATACGGCGAGGGATGTGGGTGCATTACGATCGCCATTCCATACTTTTCGCTCTTCTGTTTAGATTTAGTGTGAATTCGTGCGGGCACATTCAAGTTGCAGATATGCTGTTGGTTTATGGTAAATTGTTTTAGATCTTTTGTAGGTTCATTTGCTTGATGTGTTATTTTGCGTACTCTTAGTAAGGGTATGCAATGGACTAGTGACATACTTTGAAGTGAGATGATATGATTTTGCTAGTTACGTCGGTATTTATTTATAAGTTGCATCTTGATTCTAAGACCATATATGAAGGGAAGAGAATTTGTAGGGCTATTGTTGTGGTCACCTTTTTGTTGACAATCAAAATTCGCAGAGTCACATGTAGGAGAAATTGTTAAGCTGTTGAGTTAATAACACTTTATATTTTCATTCAGGAAACATGGCCGGGGATCCTGTCAACGTGAATGAGTATCAAGAATTGGCTCGGCAAGCCCTTCCGAAAATGTACTATGATTTTTTTGCAGGTGGAGCGGAAGACCAGTATACACTTAAAGAAAATGTGGAAGCATTTCGCAGAATAACGTAATGCCTAATGAATGCTGGTCAGATTAAAATCTGCACCAACCGTATTATGTTGTTTGTTAATTCTCAACACATGTATTTCTGGCAGGTTTAGGCCGAGAATCCTCATTGATGTGAGCAAAATTAGTTTGTCGACTACTATATTGGGCTATAACGTTGCTGCACCCATTATGATTGCTCCAACTGCTGTGCATAAGTTAGCACATCCTGAAGGTGTGAAACCTGAATTTTCTTGGAGGACCTCTTTCACAGGTTTCATTGTTTTGATTTTAATGATGCAATTTTTCCATCTTCCAGGAGAGGTTGCTACCGCAAGAGCAGCTGCTGCATGTAATGTCATCATGGTAATATATTACCAAATATTTTTTATCTTAATTTTGCTGCTATAACATACTCAATTCAACTTTTTACTCTAGATTCTTTCATATATGTCTATGTGCACTGTGGAAGAGGTCGCGTCCAGCTGTGATGCCATTCGATTTTTTCAAATATATGTAAGCATCTATTTGATTAAGAATCTCCAGTGTTCTTGGCTTTGTACATTCTCCATTAAGATTTCATCTTCATAATGAGTGCATCTCCTTATGCAGGTATACAAGAGACGGGATATTACAGCTCAGCTTGTACAAAGAGCTGAAAGAAGTGGATACAAAGCAATTGTTCTTACTGTCGATGTTCCCAGACTTGGCAGAAGGGAGGCAGACATAAAGAACAAGTAAAATGCTTTCCTCTCCCTCTCTTGCTCCCCCACCCCTGTTGGGGCATGGATATCATGGTCATAAAACAAAGTTCGGGTACAGTTAACTCTCTCTCTCTCTCTCTCTCTCTCTCTCTCTCTCTCTCTCTCTCTCTCTCTATGACAGAATGGTAGCGCCTCAGTTGAAGAATTTTGAAGGTCTACTCTCAACTCAAGTTGTCTCTGTGAGTGAATGATTTCTTTTCTATTTGAGGATCTGTCGATAGCAATATAATTTTACCTATTCAATGGAGATTCATGCGTGGGGATATATCTATGTTACTAAAATCTCATTGACCAATCTCCTTTGATGGGCATGGAGGCTGTTTTCGTCATTATCTGTGTACCCTGTTATATGCTGCTCTATTTTTTCAGAGTTTATAACTCTCTTTGACATTAACAAGGTAGCAAAACAAAAAGAAATGCTCACTATGGCACTGATGTTTGTGGATATCATGGTATTAGGCTCAGCCTAGTGGAGATTTATTTAATGAGCTCCGTGCTTCTCTTGTGCAAAGCTTGCCCTTGGGGCAAAGAGTATTGTATTCATTGGCTCTCTTTTCTCTATAACTGTTCCGTTTGATTATATCTGTGTCTAGAAGAGTTATTTTTATAGTTCATATGCTTAGAGAACATAATTTTTACTGTTGTATCTTGAGGTGAAGAAACAAGAAACAAAGGGTTCGGATAACGCGAGGCAACAGAAAATGTATGGTCAATACTTGACCATTGAAAACATTTTCGCTGCCTAAATAACCTTATAGAGATGACTCAAATTTTTATAGTTTGTTAATTGCAGAAATTTGGCATAACATCTCTCTCACTCTCGCTCCCCTTTTCCTTTGCCTCCGCTGCAATTTGCAGGATGAGGGTTCAAACGTACAAGCTTTTGCTGATTCAACTCTTGATGCTTCTTTGACTTGGAAGGTGAACCTCCATACCATCTTAAATTACTTTGCAATTAATCCTTGAAATTTTATCTGGGCAATGTTTCATCAAAAGAATCGTGTTTTCTGAATGAATGAGATGTGTGAGGTAGTGTCATCCAGTGTGGAAATAGTTTTGATAGCTATCTTACAGTGACTTTTTTCATTCAATTTTCGTTTGTCGTCATGATCTACGAATGATAACTGGATCTTTATAATGTCTCTGTTTGCTTTATTTGGTATCTTGGTTATCACGTAACTAAATTACAATGATGCAGGACATTGGATGGTTGAGATCAATTACAAGATTGCCGATTCTGATCAACGGAGTTCTTACACACGAAGATGGTAAGATCTAGGATTGTATTCTAATAGAAAAGCAGTTGAGGATTCGTCTGAAGATTGTTTTGTGTCTTAATTTGAAATATAGCTTACTTAGCATATTCATTGCTAAAACCAATGTTCCAAAACCAGATTAGAGATTGAGCCGAATTGCTGTCCCATACCAGGTTGAACTGATTGAAATCGGCTAAAACTTGTGGCTAAAAAACCTTGTGGTTTGGTTTTAAAAACACTAGCTTAAACGAAAAGTCTTATTTTAAGATGGTTTAAGACCTGGAAAAATTTGTACTTTAAGGATCCTTTTAATTTAATCGCAGAGTTTAGAAGATATTACCTTGAGCTTCATTAATTGCTTTAAATCAATCTGTCAACCAATTTTCAGGTAGCGTGGCCATAAGTAGCAACTGACAAGACCTTCTGTTTTGATCTAATATAGATAAAAATTTTAACCACATATGCATACATGAGCAAAGGGATCATTGCATTTACAAGGAAAATAAAATGAAAGTCAAGAATGACGGCTTGAGAACTCGTCACCTGTGCCAAAATCTATTTTTGCATTCTGATTTGTGCTAGATTTGATGGAATTCGTTAGGATTTTTCAATAGTGCAGATTTGTGTGTGTGCTGTTGTTTTATTTTAGATGAGGTCTATAGTGAGCACCGCATCATTGCCAGTTCATCACCGTATAAACAGTTCCATCAGTAATATACAATACATTTGACACCATAGCGATCAGTTGGGTATGATTAAATTGACATTGAAGGTCAGGATAGTTGAAAACCAGTTTGAGGCTTAATGCAGAACTGAAAAAAATCCGTTCAGCGAAGGAGAATTTTGTGATAACTCAGGGTTTGATTGTATATCTAGTTTGTAGAGTGTGACCTCTAGCATTAAACTTTGAAGATTCTTCAGTTCATCTTGAAAGGAAACAACATTATGCCTCAATTAGTTTGGTAGTTCAAACAGCATAGTCATTCTGTTGGGGAAGTCGTATGAGTTAAGGAATTTTAATGGTAATGGGATATTGTCTGTCTTCATTTTGTCATCACTGCTATTAGGACCTTGTGTTCTCTGATATTGGATTGAAGCATCTTATTCATCTATTGGAATTTAATATTGCTTCTCAGTATACTGTATCTGTTGTTACTACTATTGGTTGTTGCATACTTGACAACCTTATCGACAAGCTTGTATGCCCTCATTGGCAGCAATTAAGGCAGTGGAAGCAGGTGCTGCTGGGATAATTGTCTCAAATCATGGAGCTCGACAGCTAGATTATAGTCCAGCCACGATATCAGTTCTGGAAGAGGTGCCTACTTTTACTAACTCCTTTGTCCGGCAGGTTTAATAATAGATTCTAGAATTTGGGAGCATTTGTAAACAGTGGATAAGAGTAAATGCACCCGCTTTTGCCTCCTGAAAATAAAGCACGTGGCATTCTGTTTCCCTCTATTTTTACAAATGCATGAAAGCTTGTGCTGCAGCAAGTCATCTATATCAAACAGCATTTTGGTCCTGACTTTTTAAACCTTCGTTTGTAGGTTGTTCATGCAGTCAAAGGGAAAGTCCCTGTTTTTGTTGATGGAGGAGTGCGGCGAGGAACAGATGTTTTCAAGGCATTGGCCCTTGGGGCACAAGCAGTACTGGTACAATCTTTTATAATTAGTTTGGCACATTCCTGATATTTCTCAATGTGGACTATCTGTTATATTAGTAAGGGGTATTGTAACAAACCCTTGAGGCATTTACGTGATAATATCGTGCCAAGTTAGTAGAAGCTATCTTTTCACATTACCAAAACACCTGAATCATAAATGAAGAAGTGCCATAGGACAAATGTTGACATTCTCTTAAATAGTGGTCTTGTTACTACAGATAGGAAGGCCTGTAGTATATGGGTTGGCGGCAAAAGGGGAAAGTGGAGTTAGAAGGGTCACTGAGATGCTGAAGGATGAGCTCGAGCTTACGATGGCACTGTCCGGATGTCCCACCATAAAGGATATCACCAGGGGCCATGTCTTAACAGACCGCGAGAGACTTCATTCCTCTCTCTGAATTCACGCTGCAGCATCCATGAAAATGAGATTCGCATAGTCAAATGGACGATACCATTGTTGTTTTATCACTTGTAGCAGTTGTCATGTTTCATTATCAAAAATAAAATTGGAGTCAGAGTAAGAGCATCAATATAGATTTTTAATAGTCAAAGCTGATTTTTTCATGGTTCTTTAGTAGATGTTAATGTTCAATAGTACTTTTGTGCATTAAATTAGAAGCATAAAATCCTTGTAAGACATGAAATTGATCTGCGTCTTCCGACTCTAATACCTTCCAATCAACTTTGTCAAGTCTGTATCATCACGAACTCCCCTCTAAATGATGCGAAAGAACAGTTCTTCCCCACCACAAGATGGCTGGGTAAGATTAAGCACAGACATAAGTGCTTTTAGGAAGTTAATAAAATGGATGCTGCTGTGGTCGTGCATTTCCTGCGAACATATTTTTGCCCCTACTCATCCTCTACTCTCTCCACTGCAGCCTTGGGGCCTCTGTTTATTAGCTGATACTTGTACCCTCGTAGCCCATGCCAGCAGGTCATAGCCTTTATTCCCGCGTGTACTTCAATGAAATTTAATTTTAGCCTTTTATTCCAGAACAAGGTTCACATTGACGAGCAAACCGGATTGAAGATTGTCCCGCAAAATCTGGTAAGAGATTCCCCAGTCATATACATTTCCCCAGAATCCGCTACAATGTTAAAGCGATTATATTGAGTATCAGACTGTCGGCTTATAGAACAGAAAAGACAGAAGAAAATGGAAAAGAGAAGGGTTATTAATACTATGAAAAACCCCAAATTGATATATATATATGATAATTTTACTATAAATTGATATTTTGATCACCAAAAATTTTAAATTGGTATATTTGTAATAATTTTACTCTTCGTAAGTTTCCATTAAATTTTAACGTCAAATTTCAGAGTTGGATGTCACGTGGTAATTGATGGGTGTACCGGTTTGGAGTTTTACTCTCCGTTTTTCATACTAATTTATGGTTTTTCGTGGTATTAATCCAATTTAACGAAGGGTAAATTTGTCATAAATGTATAAATTTGGGGTTTTTAATGGTAAAAAAATTAATTTGAGATAAATTTGTCATAAGTGTATCAATTTAGAGTTTTAATAATTAAAAAATTAATTTGAGATAAATTTATAGGAGGTGTACCAGATTGAACTTTGACGTTTTTCGTGGTAGCGACTCAATGAGAATAATGGCGGGCAGCCTTTCACCGGACGCGATTGCTGGTAATCAGTAAATCCCCCATCCCCAACAGTAACCGAGGCATTCGACCAGAGCTTTTGCTCTGTTCGTGCGAAAACCCAAGGCTCCCATTTGCTTATCCTACCCTTTGGATCGTCTCACTTCTTTGATTCGAGCGCGCAGCGCAGAGCAACTCCCCTGCTCCGAACTTTTTTGAGCATCCGTATGGCTGAGCGTCTGCGACGCAGAAAGATCGCATTCTTTTTTTTTTTTCCTTCTGCCGTCATGGCTAGCGAAAAGATTATTGACCGTCATGTAGGAGCTTGTGACGAAGGTTCATGTGAGTGGTTAGGCTAGCGTGAGATTCTGAATGCCGTTGGGCTACGCGTTTTGATGTGTTCGTGTTCTGTAGTTATGGCTATACATAGGTCGAGGGATGTGGGTGCATTACGAGCTCTATTCCATACTGTTCACTCTCCTGTTTAGATTTAGTGTGAATTCGTGTGGGCACATTTAACTTGCAATTATGCCGTTAGTTTATGGTAAATTGTTTTAGACCTTCATTTGCGTGAGTGTGTGGTAAAAAAGGCACCCTTATACGGTGTCGTTAGCTAAGCAGCACCCTTAGGAGAAATTGTTAAGCTGAGGTAATAAATGCTTAAATTTTTATTCAGCAAACATGGCTGAGGATCCTGTCAATGTGAATGAGTATCAAGAATTGGCTAGGCAAGCCCTTCCAAAAATGTACTATGATTTTTATGTCGGGGGAGCAGAAGACCAGTATACACTTCAAGAAAACACGGAAGCCTTTCGCAGAATAACGTAATGACTAATGAATGCTGGTCAGATTTAAATCTGCAGCAACCATATTATGTTGTTCGGTACTTCTCAACACATGTATTTGTGGCAGGTTTAGGCCGAGGATCCTCATTGATGTGAGCAAAATCAGTTTGTCGACTACTCTATTGGGCTATCACGTTTCTGCCCCCATTATGATTGCTCCAACTGCTAGGCATAATTTAGCACATCCTGAAGGTGTGAAACCTGAATTTTTTTGGAGGAACTCTTTCGCATGTTTGCTTGTTTTGATTTTAGCGATGCAATTTTTCCATCTTCCAGGAGAGGTTGCCACCGCAAGAGCAGCTGCTGCATGTAATGTCATCATGGTAATAGATTACCGAATACTTTTAATCTCAATTTGCTGCTATGACATACTCAATTCACCTCTTTACTCTAGATTCTTTCATATATGTCCACGTGCACTGTAGAAGAGGTCGCGTCCAGCTGTGATGCCATTCAATTCTTTCAAATATATGTAAGCATCTATTTGATTAAGAATCTCCAGTTTTCTTGGCTTTGTACATTCTCCATTAAGATTTAATCTCAATAATTAATGCATCTCCTTATGCAGGTATACAAGAGACTGGATATTACAGCTCGGCTAGTACAAAGAGCTGAAACAAGTGGATGCAAAGCTGTTGTTCTTACTGTTGATGTTCCCAGACTTGGCAGAAGGGAGGCAGACATAAAGAACAAGTAAAATGCTTTCCTCTTCCTCTCTCGCTCCCCCATTTCCCTGGGGCATGGATATCATGGTCATGAACAAAGTTCGGGTACAGTTAAACTCTCTCTCTCTCTCTCTCTCTCTCTCTCTCTCTCTCTCTATGACAGAATGATAGCGCCTCAATTGAAGAATTTTGAAGGTCTACTTTCAACTCAAGTTGTCTCTGTGAGTGAATGATTTCTTTTCTACTTGAGGATTTGACAATAGCAATATATTTTTACCTATTTACTGGAGATGCATGCATGGGAAGATATCTATGTTCTTAATATCTCATTGACCGATCTCCTTTGATGGTTTGGAGGCTGTTTTCGTCATCATCTTCATACCCTGCTACATGCTGCTCTATTTTTTTGGTGTCTGTAACTCTCTTTGGCATTAGCAAGGTAGCAAAACTAAAAAAATGCACACTATGGTGTTGATGTTGTTGATATCATGGTATTGGGCTCAGCCTAGAGGAGGTTTATCCCAGTGAGCTCTGTACTTCCCTTAAGCAAAGCTTGCCCTTGGGGCAAAGTATTGTATTCTTCGAAGCTTTTTTCTCTATAACTGTTCAGTTTGATTATATCTGTTTCTGGAGGAGTTTTTTATAGTTGATTTGCTTAGAGTACATAATGTTTTACCCTTGTATCCTGGGGCAAAGAAACAAAGGGTTCGGATAACGTCAGGCAACAGGAAATGTATGGTTAATAATTGACCGATGAAGACATTTTCACTGCCTAAATAACCTCTTGAGAGATATCTCAAATTTTTATGGTTTGGTAAATGCCGAAATTAAGCATAACATCTCTCTCACTCGCTCACCCCTTGTCCTTTGCCTCCGCTGCAATTTGCAGGATGAGGGTTCAAATGTAAAAGCTTTTGCTGATTCAACTGTTGATGCTTCTTTGAGTTGGAAGGTGAACCTCCATACCATCTTAAATTACTTTGTAATTAATCCTTGAAATTTTTTCTGGGATGATATTTCATCAAAAGAATTGGGTTTTATGAATGAATGAGATGTGCGAGGTAGTGTCATCCAGTGTAGAAATAGCTTTAATAGCTATCTTATGATGACTTTTTTCATTCAATTTTCCCTTATGGCCGTGACCTACAAATGATAAGCGGATCCTTTTAATGACTCTGTTTGCTTTACTTGGTATCTTGTTGGTCATGTAACTAAATTACAATGCTGCAGGACATTGGATGGTTGAGATCTATAACAAAATTGCCGATTCTGATCAAGGGAGTTCTTACACACGAAGATGGTAAGATCTAGGATTGTATTCTCAAAGAAAAGTGGTTGAGGATTCGTCTGAAGACCGTTTTGTGTCCTACTTTCAACTAGAGCTTACTTAGCATATTCATTGCTTAAACCAGTGTTCCAAAACCAGATCAGAGATTGAGCCGAATTGCTGTCCCATACCAGGTTGAACTGATCGAAATCGGCCAAAAACTGTAGCTAAAACCTTCCAGTTTGGTTTTAATAACACTAGCTTAAACGAGAAATCTTACTTTAAGATCGCTCAAGACCTGGAAAAATTTGTACTTTAAGGTTCCTTTTAATTTTATGCCAAAGTCGAGAAGATATTACCTAAAACTTCAATATTTGCTTCAAATCAATTTGTCGACCAATTTTCAGGCAGGGTAGCCATAACTAGCAACTGACAAGACCGTCTGTCTTTGAGCTAATTTGGCATTAATTCTTTTAATAGATAAAAATTTTAACTACATATGCATGCATGAGCAAACGGATCATTGCATTTGCAATGAATATAAAAGGAAAGTCAAGAGTGATCAATTGTGCTAGATTTGAAGGAGTTCGTCAGGGTTATTTAATAGTGCAGATTCGCATGTGTGCTGTTGTTTTATTGTATATGAGGTGTGAACCCATTTCTATAGTGAGGACCACATCATTGCCAGTTCGTCACTGTATAGGCAGCCCCATTAGTTAGGTATGATTTAATCGACATTGAAGTTCGAGATAGTTTGAAAAGCAGTTTTCAGGCTTAACGTAGAACTGAAAAAAATCCGTAAAGTGCGGGAGATATTTGTGATAGCCTGAGGTTTGATTGTATATCCAGCTTTGTAGAGGGCGAACCTCTCGCATTAAACTTTGAAGATTCGTCAGTTCATCTTGAAAGGAAACAATATTATGCCTCAATTGGTTTGGTAATTCAAACATAATAGTTATTCTTTGGGGGTGTGGGGGGGTAAGTCGTATCAGTTAGGAATTTTGATGGTAATGGGATACTGCCTGTCTTCAATTTGTCCTCGCTGCTATTAAGACCTTGTGTTCTCTGATATTGGATTGAAGCATCTTATTCATCTATTGGAATGTACTATTTTGCTTCTCAGTATACTCTATCTGTTGTTACTACTATTGGTTGTTGCATACTCGACAACCTTATCAACAAGCTTGTATGCCCTCATTGGCAGCAATTAAGGCAGTGGAAGCAGGTGTAGCTGGGATAATTGTCTCGAATCATGGAGCTCGACAGCTAGATTATAGTCCAGCCACGATATCAGTTCTGGAAGAGGTGCCTATTTTTACGAATTCCTTTGATCGGCAGGCTTAATAATAGATTCCAGATCTTGGAGCATTTGTAAACTCTGGATAAGAGTAAATACACCCGGTTTTGCCCCCTGAAAATAAAGCACAGTGGTATTCTGTGTCTCTCTATTTTTACAAATGCACGAACTTGTGCTGCAGCTAGTGATCTCTAAAACATCATTTTGGTCATCAGTGTTTCTGTTAAACCTTCGTTTGTAGGTTGTTCATGCAGTCAAAGGGAAAGTCCCTGTTTTTATTGATGGAGGAGTGCGGCGAGGAACAGATGTTTTCAAGGCATTGACCCTTGGGGCAGAAGCAGTGCTGGTAAAATCTTCTAATTAGTTTGTAGAAACTATCTTTTCACATTACCAAAACACTTGAATCACGACTGAATAAGTGAACTAGGACAATTATTGACATTCTCCTAATAGTGGTCTTCTTACTACAGATAGGAAGGCCTGTTGTCTATGGGTTGGCGGCAAAAGGGCAGCTGGAGTTAAAAGGGTCATTGAGATGCTGAAGGATGAGCTCGAGCTTACGATGGCACTATCTGGATGTCCTACCATAAAGGATATTACCAGCGGCCACGTGATAACAGACTGCGAGAGACTTCATTCCTCTCTCTGAATTTGCGCTGCAGCATCCATGAAGATAAGATTCACATAGGCAAATAGACGATACCCTTGTTGTATTATTGTTGGTAGTTTGCCATGTTATGTAAATAGCCTTCTGTGTTTCATGATCAAAAAGAAAATTGGAGTCGAGTCAGAGCATGAGTAGATATTATGATAGTCAAAGCTGGTTTTTTTCTTGTTTCATCAGTAGATGTTAATGTTTAATGGTACCATAAAATCCTTGTAAGACGTTATATTGCTGGTCTTTGGACTCTAATACCTTCCAATCAACTTTGTCAAGTTAGTATCATCACGAATGCCCCTCTAAATGATGCGAAAGAACAGTTCTTCCCCACCGCAAGAAGGCTGGGTAAAATTGAGTACCGGCACAAGCGCTTTTCGGAAGTTATTAATAAAATAGATGCTCCTGCGGTCGTGCATATCCTGAGAAAACATTTTTGCCCCTACTCATCCTCTACTCTCCTCCTGCAGCCTTGGGGCCTCTGTTTATTTGCTGATTCTTCTACACTCGTAACCCAAGCCAGCAGGTAAAAGCGATTATTCCCGCACGTACTCCGATGAAATTTAATTTTAGCCTTTTATTCAAACACGAGGTTCAAGAACATTGACAAACTATATTAAAGATCGTCCCGCAGAATCTGGTAAGAGATCCCAAGTCATATACATTTCTCCGGAACCAAACTTGGAATACGGTGAAGAAACTGAAAGGAGTGGAGTTCATCTCCCCATAATCACTTCACCAATGTTTGTGCATGAGTCTGCTTCTGCTCTTGCTTGCGGAATGGATCCTACAGATCCAGAAAGATACAGTATAGTTCAGACCGCAAAGAATCCACACAGACGTGGTGATGTTACGTTACTGCATGTCAAGTCAGAGAAATTTTTATCAAAGACAACATCTTTAAGTGGAGAGAAAATGCAAAGTGGGCAGTATCGTTTCACAAGCTCAGACTAGTCTAGCTTTAAACAAACAAGGTAGCACATGTATGGTTCCAATTTTCATGAGAAGATGGACTTACTAGCTCTGGGCAGTAAGATGAACCTTAATCAGATATGTGGTTCAGGCAATACCGATTATAACATGTCAACTTTTCATCGTCCAGTTTCCGTATGTTGTATAATAGATGCTGTGGAAGTTTCGTGGAACATCCCTCAAGACTCCGGAGAAACCCTTTTGATGACTTGGGAGAATGGGAAAGTTGTCCAAAAAGTTCTAAACCTATTGTACGATGGCCAATTCAATTCTATACCTTTTAGTTTTGCCAATTCAGTCATAAACCTTTTAAAAAGTTGCCAATTCAGTCATAAATATTTCAATTGTGTCAATTTAGTCCTAAACCTATTGACTTTTTACCAATTTAGTCATAAATTTTTTAACGAATTGCCAATTTAGTCATTCAGACTAATTTTGGCCGAAAATTACTGATATGACAGTCTAGTTGGCGCTAGCCATCCTACGTGGCGCCGACGTGGATAATTCTCTATTTTTTTTTAAATTCGAATTTTTTATTGATTATTTTATTTTATTCTTTTCTTTTATGGTTTTTTCCCTTTCTTCTTCATTGAGCCGGCGACTGGCTGGCGAGGGTTGCATGCCACTGGGTCCCCGAGCGAGGGCTGCGAAGCCCTCGCTGGCTGTGGGTGAGGGCTTTGCGGCCGGCGAGGGCGTCGTGAGCCCACTACGTGGCCGGCGAGGGCCTGGGTAAGGGTTGCGACGCCCTCACCTCGCCAGATCTGGCGAAGGCGGCGTGGCCCTCGTCGGATTTGGCGAGGGCTCGCGAGTCCTCATTGTGGCCGGCGAGGGCATCTGTAACGTCGTTATCTTACCCTTGGGTAGAGGTGGCCACGGGCCGGTTTTGGCCCGGAACCGGCCCGGTCCAGTCAAACCCGGGCCCGCGGTTCGGAATCGAAACCGGCCCGTGGCATACGGGCCCGGTTCCGGTTCCAGAAAAATTTGAACCGAGCCCGGAACCGCCGGTTCGGGCCTGTCTCGAAAAAAAAAAAAAAAAAAGCTGCGGAGGTGCGGCAAAGACACCGCATTGCGGTGCCATGCCGCAGAAGTGGCCTACTGAGAGCCCGTTGCCAGGCCCCTCCCTGGCAACGGCCAAACCCAAAAAAAAAAAAAAAAAATTTATCCGCAGCAGGGCCTGCAGACGTGTAGGCCCTGCTGCGGGCTTGCACCTTGCGGCCCGTTGGGGCAACCGGCAACGGCTACGCCCCAACGGGCGTTTTTATAATAAAAAAAAAACACATAACCATTGCAATTTGCAACGGTTATGTTTTATTTTTTTAATTCTAAATTTTCTTCTATTTTTTTCCTATAAATTCTCTCAAATTCTCACAATACACACACAATTCTCTCAAATTCTCTCCAATTCTCTTCTCTCAAGTCTCAAATTTTCTCAATACTCGAAATTCTCTAAAATTCTCTCAATTTTCTCAATCCACGCAATTCTTTCTTAATTCTCCCAATTAATCCGCTCAATTCTCTCAATCCATTCGAAAAATGGCAAGTGGAAGTCGAGTGCCAACTGGCAAAGGTAAGAATATCGCGACGGAATCCCATCATTCTTTTGATCTTCGTGAATATGCAGATTTTCAAGATGATGAAATCAACATTTTTCCCGATGTGGAACGCGTCCCGACGCAAGAAAGTTTTCATCCTCCTGCTGAAATATCTACAACAAAGGAAGCGGAACGGGAATTTACATCTGACATTTGGAATCACTTCACGAAAATGGAAAGGTTTGATATCGGTCAAAAAAGGTATGATATAATTTGTAAATATTATGGAAAAATATATAAATATACAGGTGGACAAGGATATGGAACATTTAAACGACATCTTAGGAGCAAACATCCAACCGAAACGGGAATCGATATCGGGCAACAACAAATTTCCGGGTACGTCAATTCTAACACTTCCCCTTTATTTCGTTTTAATGAAAAAACTTATAAGGAAGAATTAGGCAAATTTATTTCCGTTGAGCATTTAGCATTTAATTTTGGAGAAAGATTTGGTTTTAATGAATTTGTACAAAAAGCATGTGCTCCACAAGTAAAACGTGTTCCTAGAAATTCAATTAAAGGAGTAATTAAAGATCTTTACAAAAATGGAAAAAAAGATTTACAAAACTTTTTTATGCAATTTAATGGATGCGTGCATATAGGTAGTGATATTTGGAGTGATCATTAGCAAAATCATTCTTACATGGGCATAACATGTCATTGGATAGATGACGAGTGGACTATTCAAAAAAGAGTTATTGCATTTAGAGTTTTCGATGATCATCATACGGTAAATAATATTTATAGAATAATTAGGCAAGTTTTAGAAGAATATTATTTGCTTAACAAAATTTTTTCAATTGGTTTTGATAATACCGCAGCAAATACCGCTTCAATTGCCGAGTTAGAAAATATTTGTAAACCCACTTTTGGCGGAAAATTTTTTCACATTAGATGTGCTTGTCATGTTTTAAATTTATGTGTACAAGATGGTTTGAAAACTCTTGATATTTTTCTTCAACCAATAAAAACGGCGATTCAATTTTTATGGAAACATCCCCAAAAAATGAAAGAATGGGATAAATTTTGTAGAGAAAATGGAAAAAAGCCAAAAAAATTTCCAAGAGATGTTCTAACTCGTTGGAATTCTACTTTCCACTTGCTTAATGAATCTTTAGCATATAAAGATTTATTATGTGCATTCATTTCTAATAATATACCTCAGATTAATTTATACCCACAAGAGTGGCATATTTGCCAAAAAATTTTAGATGTTTTAAAGGTTTTTAATGATGCAACTTATACTTTGTCCGGTGTTTATTATCCTATTACACATTTATTTTTAGTAGAGTGTACTAATATTGTCGGAACTTTTGATGAATATGAAAATGATGTTGAATTACAACATACTATAGTCGCAATGAAAATGAAATGGCTTCATTATTATAGTGAAATTCCCATGATTTATTTAGTTGCTTGTGTTTTTGATCCGCGTTGCAAATTGGATGGCTTAAATGATTTTTTGCGTGTGTATTATCAATGTTTACATTATGATGTGACAAATATTACAACCATAGTACGTGAGGTTAAAAACGTAGTAATAGAATTATATAATGAATTTTATACTAAATATAATTTAGGTGATATTGGATCTTCTCAATCTATGGAGATATAAAATGACAATACAGGTAAAATTAGTAGAGGGTACCAACTTTTATTACATAGACAAAAAAACAAAAGGGAGTAATAGGAAATATTTCTGAATTAGAGAGTTATCTAACCATTTTATTTGAGTTTACTGAAGCCGAAGGTGATACAAATTTTTTAATTTTGGATTGGTGGAAGAGGCACGCAAGCCAATACCCAATCGTTTCTCTTATTGCAAAATAGATTTTTTCAACCCCTTGTTCCACAGTTGCGGTCGAACAAGCATTCAGTGCTGGAGGTAATATTTTGAACGAACATCGTTCAAGATTAGATCCAGAATCAGTGGAGATGCAAGCTTGTGTTGCTGATTGGACGAAGGCTCACTATCGGCAACAAGAGATAGATCGGAATAATGAATCCGAATTCTTTACCGACAGAGATACTACCGCTACCAGTATCGGTACTGGAATGGGTAGTGAAAATTGAGGGTAAAAGAACTATTGGAGTTGGCAAATATTTCGGGAACTCTTGTTTCTCATACCGGGTACGCCCACGTGAGCTTAGGGAAACCGAAATATAATCCGACGATATGTGACCTCTCGGTCCCGCGCACGGAATGCTTAGGTTTTGGGATAATTTTAGGGTATATATATTGTACTCTTTTTTTTAAGATCGTTGTAACGAATTGTAATGTGCTTAATGATAATTTATTAAGTTGAAGCCTCTCTCTTTCTCTCTTGTCTTTTTGTCCCCAAATTTGAGTACAATTTACATTTTAATCACAATTTATATTGAATAATGTTCTATCACAAGAATAGTATTTTTTTAATTTTTTTTATTTTCATTTCTGTTTTTCCTTTTCTGTTTTTCTTCTTTTTCTTTTCCTTTTCCTTTTCTGTTTTTCCTTTTTCTCTTGTCTTTTTTCCTTGTTTCTGTTTTTTAAAATTATAATTTATATTTTAATTTTTTTTTCTTCCTCCGCGGCTGGCCATGGCCGGGCCGGCGAGGAGGTCGCCGGCGTCGGGCGAGGACCGCCCTCGCCGGCGTTGGGCGGCCTCGCCCGGGCCGGGCGAGGCCGGCCTTGCCCAACGCCGGCGAGGCTCGACCTCGCTCGCAATCGGCGAGGCTCGACCTCGCTAGCGTCGGGCGAGGCTCGACCTCACCGGCATCGGGCGAGGCCGGCCTCTCCCAGCCCAGGAGAGGGCCGGCATCGCCCGACGCCGGCGACCTCCGCGCCCGGCCCGGCTATGGCCGGCCGCGGAGGAAGAAAAAAAAAAGAAAAGGAAAAGGAAAAGAAAAAAAAAAAAAAAAAATCGGAAGTGCCGGAACCGGAACCGCGAGGAGGTTCCGGCTCCGGTTCACACTTGGCCACGAACCTGAACCGGAACCGTGGCCACCTCTACCCTTGGGGTTATTAATTGACATTATAGGCTTGTCACCGTCTCGTTTCTTTCATCTGATTATTAAGCACATGCGGGAACGTGTATAAACAAATTCCCAAATATAATAATAACTGAAAACAAGGGAAAGCATAACAAGCAAGACATATTATTGCTATTTTACTTAAACATATTGTACAAGCCCTTTTTCCATGGGCCGTTCCACATACAAATTATATCACAAGCGAAGACCG